AGTTATTCATTTGTAAAATAGTTAAGATACTTGAATCCCCCTAAGATCAGAAAAAAAAACCAATTGATTCTTTTATATCTGCCTTGACAATCCCTTGAAATTTTGTCCCTGTCATTGCAGGACAAAACAGTCATTTAATTTTTGCATTCTCAGGGGAAACATCATTCCAAATTCCATGTTGGGGTCTCAATATTCCCAAAGATTCGTTTGTACATTGAAAAATATCTGTCAGTAAGAAGTTCATGGAAGACTCTTGACAGTATATAACACATTGTTAAGAATCAAGATATTTGCAGGAAAAGGACATTAATAGCACACATTCTCTCTCATAGGAAACCCCTTTGTAAAATGAGAGTTTTTGAAAGAAAATTTTGAATGGAATGACTCTGAACTTTGTAGTTTTTCAAAGCTTTATACAATTCCTTTGAAAAATGCCATCTCATCATCAGGCAGTGAGTAACTTGAAATACTCTGCCAAACACTACGCTTTGTAGACCTTTAATGTTACACAGAAATATTGTGAGTGATTTTTTTCTTCTTTTTTTCTTTTTGTCTGTCTTGCAGTTTGCACTGTGGATTGGAAATTGTCCCTGCACACTTTAGCTCAAGATTTGAGTTCTGTCCGTTGAGAGTGCCACATTCAATTTTCTGGTGGTCATTTGGAGAAAAAAATCTCATGGACTTTCATGCTTGTACTGGTTTTGAACCGCCATCCTCCCATTTCAGCTTCCTAAGTACCTAGGATTACAGGCCTGAGCCACCAGCGCTCAGTTCTTAGTCTTCTCTAATAAAATACCCTAGTAGTAACTTTAGTTATCCAAGGTTATTTAAACAACACTGAGGAAATTTAGCATGATTTCCAAAGAGAAGATTTGCATTGAAGTTAAACATTCCACTTTCATGTTGCTTTCTCCTGAAGAGGAAACCCAGACATCAAGGAGGATGAAAAATGAATATTACCAGAGACATATAAATCTAAAATCAATAGCCATGTTCACAAAATTATTATTATTATTTTCAATCACCTTGTTTTATTTGTAAACATAACAAATGAAATAAAACAATTCCACTTAAGGGACTCCAATATTAGTATCTATGAAGATGTTCCTGAATGCCAACATCCATTTTAAAATTTTGGAATTTTAATTTCTACCAACATATGAAAACTTGAACAACAAAACAAATGTAGTCTTAGAGCAAACCAGCGTTGGAATAATTTTCTTAATTGTTTTGAAATTATAAAAGAATTGATATCATTAAGAAAATAATCCTTTCCTATGGAAACGATTTAAAAATGTTTATCACTTATTATAATTCAAATACCAAACAAGAGTAATTTTATATAATCATTACAAATACCGTTTTATTACTATCGTAAAATAGAATAAAAGACCAGTCCCAATATATTATCATTATTCTTGATTTGTTATCATTACTTACATATATTTATTTAATTTTTATATATTTTTTATTGTGAAAATAATGTACAGAGGGGTTACAATTAAATGGGCAAGATAATGAGTACATTTCTTATCAAGCATTGTAGCCTTCTCCTTTGTTTCCGCTTCCCATCCTTCGCAGCCTCTGCCAGCCCCCCCTACCCATCTTACTCCCTACCCAACAAAGTTGTAAAGTTCGTTTTCGACATGACAACTTGAACTTCTCATTGTTGCAAAGGGTCTACCTGTATCCTTATTTAAACGACTTGTTTTTCCCCTTCCCCTCCACAAATTATACTGACATCAAATGCAGTGAAAGCAGGGGTTATACTGTGGGGAAGGGACATCTGAAGCAACAAAGAAATAATCTTATAAATGCGTTAGAAACAAATGCATGAAAGAAAAAAAAACATTTGAATAAATATCTTAGGGTTCATTTTCCTGACATCACCTTATCTGATCTTTTCTGCTTGACTAATACATATAACAGATATTGCAAATAAGGGAAACCATGGGACCTATGTTTCTTTGGGCCTGGCTTACTTCACTTAATATAATTTTTTCCAAGTCTTTCCATTTCCTAACAAATGGGGCAATGTCCTTCTTTCTGATGGAGGCATAGAATTCCATTGTGTATATATACCACATTTTCTTGATCCATTCATCTACTGAGGGGCATCTGGGTTGGTACCATATGTTAGATATAGTAAATAATGCTGCAATAAACATAATTGTGCTGGTAGCTTTAGTGTAGTCTTGTTTGTAAACTTTTGGTTAAATGCCCAAAAGTGGAATTGCTCAGTGATAAGGGAGCTATATGTGGAGTATTTTGAGGAACCTCCAGATTACTTTCCAAAGTGGTTGAACAAGTTTACACTCCCACCAACAATGAAGTAAGGTTTCCCTTCTGTCCACATCCCTTCCAGCATCTGCTATTATTAGAGTGCTTGATTTTGCCATTCTAACTGGGGTGAGGTGGTATCTTAATGTTGCTTTGATTTGCATTTCTTTTATGGCTAGGGAGGTTGAGCATTTCTTCATGTGTCTATTGGCCATCCTTCTTTCTTCTTCAGAGAAGTTTGTCTTTAAGTCTTTAGCCCACTTATTTATTGGGCAGTTGTTTCTTTGAGGATTTGTTGTTGGGGGATTTACTTTTTTGAGTTCCAAGTATATTTTAGATATGAGACCCTTGTCCGTTGTATGGCTAATGAAGATCTTCTCCCAATCCGTAGGCTTTCTATTGATCTTGCTAGCTATGTCCTTTGCCATGCAGAAGCTCTGCAACTTTATACAATCCCATTTGTCCAAACTTTCTTTGATTTGTTGTGTTTTCCGTTGTCTACTAAGAAAATTTCGGCCTGCTCCAAGGAGACCTAGGGTTTCTCCTATTCCATCCTGTAATAATTTCACAGTGTCTGCTTTGACTCCGAGGTCTTTGATCCATTTGGAGTTGATTCTGGTGCAGGGTGACATATAAGGATCTAGCTTTAGTTTTCTACAAGTAGTTACCCAATTTTGCCAGCACCATTTAGTAAAGAGGTTGTCTTTCTTCCATTCTATTTTTTTAGCTCCCTTATTGGAGATTAGATGGCTATAGGTCTGTAGGTTCATTTCTGGGTTTTTAATTCTATTCCATTGGTCTTGAGGTCTGTTCTTGTTCCAGTACCAAGCTGTTTTGATTACTATGGCTTTGCAGTAGAGTTCGAAATTTGTTATTGATATTCCTCCAGTAGTGTTCTTTCCATTGAGGAGCGTTTTTGCTATTCGGGGTCTATTATTGTTCCACATGAATTTTGGATTGCCTCTTCTATTTCATTGACGAATGAGGTTGGAATTTTGATAGATAGCCTTGGGAAATATTGCCATTTTCACTATGTTAATCCCTCCAATCCAGGAACATGGGAGTTTTTGCCAATTTCTAAGTTCTGTTTTGATTTCCTTTTTCAAGTTTTTAAAGTTGTCATCATAGAGATCCTTCACTTCTTTGGTTAAGTTAATTCCTAGGTATTTTATTTTTTGTGGGGCTATTACAAATGGAGTTGCTTTCCTAATATCAGCCACACTTTTCTCATTGTTGGCATACAGAAAAGCCATTGATTTTGGGGGATTACTTTGCTACTTTGCCAAAGTTTTGAATCAGCTGGAGTAATTTGGAAGTGGAGTTTATTGGAGTCTTTAAATGCAAGACAATGTCATCTGCAAAGAGGGAGAGTTTTACTTCTTCTTTCCCTATTTGGATCCCAGTTGTGTTTGTATCTTGTCTTATTGCTGTAGCTAGGCATTCTAATACTAGATTGAAGAGAAGTGGAGAGAGTGGGCATCCTTGTCTTGTTCCTGAGTTAAGAGGAAATGGCTTTAGTTTTTCACCATTAAGTATAATGCTGGCTGTAGGTTTGTCATATACAGTCTTTATTGTATTGAGGAATGTTCCATGAATTCCTAATTTTTCCAAAACCTTCATCATAAAGGGGTGTTGGATCTTGTTGACTGCTTTTTCTGCATCCATTGAGATAAACATGTGGTTCTTAGACTTGCTCCTGTTAATGTTATGAATTATAGTAATTGATTTGCATATATTGAAACAGCTTTGCATCCCTGAAATGAATCCTGTTTGATCGTGGTGTATGATTTTTTGAATGAATTGTTGAAGTCAATTGGCCAAAATTTTGTTGAGAAGTTTTGCCTCAATGTTCATCAAAGAAATGGGTCTATAGTTCTCTTTCTTTCATGAGTCCCTGCCTGGTTTTGGGATGAGGGTTATGATGGCTTCATAGAATGTGTTCGGTAGTGAACTTTCTCTTTTAATTTCATTGAAGAGTTGGAGGAGTATTGGTGTGAGCTCTGCTTTGAAGGTCTTGTAGAATTCTGCTGTAAAACCATCTGGTCCTGGACTTTTCTTAGCTGGGAGGTCTCTTATTGCTGTTTCTATTTCAATGCTTGATATGGGTCTGTTAACATGGTTTAACTCATCTTGGTTTACTTTTGGCATGTCAATATTTGCTAGGAAAGATCCATTTCTGCCAAGTTCTCAAACTTATTAGTATAAAGTTTTGAGAAGAATTTCCTTATAATGTTCTTAAACTTGGTTGTTTCTGTGGTGATGTTTCCATTCTCATCTCTGAGTTTATTTATTTGGGTATGTTCTCTTCTTTTTCTGATAAGATTTGGTAGAGATTGGTCAATTTTGTTAATTTTTTTGAAGAACCAACTCTTTATTTTCTTGATTCTTTCTATAGTTTTTTTTATTCTAATTCATTTAATTCTGATTTCATTTTACTTATTTCTTTCCATCTACTGGATTGGGGTTTATCTTGCTGCTCTTTTTCAAGGAGGTTCAGATGTCTCATTCAATTGTTGGTTTCAACTGCAAAGCTCCAGCTCCAGTTAGCAGGCTACGAGGTTCTGGCGAGATTCGCCTCAACACCAAGCACCTGTGTCTGGCAGAACCAGTGTGAAACAAAGAAACAGTTCTTCCCCAGCCGCCCAGATAATCATGAGTTTTGGTTGGACCCTTTGAGCACACACCGAGATAGAGTGAGGAGCCATGCGAAAAGCAAGACTATGGCACTGAAACGGATTAATAAGGAACTTAGTGAGTTGGCCCATGATCCTCTAGCACAGTGCTTTGCAGGTCCAGTTGGGAATGGCATGTTTTACTGGCAAGCCACAATTATGGGACCTAATGACAGCCCATATCAAGGTGGTGTATACTTTTTGACATTTCATTTTCCTACAGACTACCCCTTCAAACCACCTAAGTTTCCATTTACAACAAGAATTTACCATCCAAATATTAACAGTAATGGCAGCATTTGTCTTGATATTCTAAGGTCACAGTGGTCTCCTGCTTTAACTATTTCTAAAGTTCTTTTATCCATTTGTTCACTGCTATGTGATCTGAACCCTGATGACCCCCTAGTGCCAGAGATTGCACGGATCTATAAAACAGACAGAGATAAGTACAACAGAATATCTCAGGAATGGACTCAGAAGTATGCCATGTGATACCACCTTAAAGTCAGAATAACCTGCATTATAACTGGAATAAACTTTAAATTACTGTTCCTTTTTTGATTTCTTATCCGGCTGCTCCCCTATCAGACCTCATCTTTTTTTTTTTTTAATTGTATTTTAGGTTTACTGCCATCCATTCATTCACATGCTCATCTGAGAAGACTTAAGTTCTTCCAGTTTGGACAATAACTGCTTTTAGAAACTGTAAAGTAGCTACAAGAGAACAGTTGCCCAAGATTCAGAATTTTTTTTTAATGGAGCATGTGTATTATGTGGCCAATATCTTCACTCTTAACTCGGTTATGAGACTAAACTATTCCTCACTGCTCTAACATGCTGAAGTTGCCATCTGACGGGGAGGGAGATGGATGCTCAGTTGTCGCATCAAAGGAAACAACATTCTTGCAGCATCCACTCTCGTTTAAGCCTTCCATTATTAGAGATTTGAGGTTACATGATATACGTTATGCTAATAACTGATGTGGCTGGAGAATTGGTATTGAATTTATAGCATCAGCAGAACAGAAATTGTGATGTATTTTCTGCATGTCAATAAAGAAATGACCTGTTCTTGTTCTACAGAGAATGGAAATTGGAAGAGAAACACCTTTTGTATTCCAAAATAGGGTTTCAAACATTTTGTAATTTTCATTTAAATTGTTAGGAGGCTTGGAGCTATTAGTTAATCTATCTTCCAATACACTATTTAATACAGCACTGAATAAATGATGCAAGTTGTTAATGGATGAGTGATCAACTAATAGCTCTGCTAGTAATTGATTTATTTTTCTTCAATAAAGTTGCATAAACCAAAAAAAAATTGTTGGTTTCAGATCTCTCCAACTTGTTGATGTAGGAACTCAGAGCTATAAATTGCCTCAGAGTACTGCCTTTGCTGTGTCCCAGAGGAGCTGGTAATTTGTGTGTTCATTTTTGTTAAAGAGCATGAACATTTGAATTCCCTTTCTAATATCTTCCATGACCCACTCGTGATTCAGCAGTGTGTTATTCAGCCTCCATGTGTTACCAGAATTTCTTTGGTGGCTTTTGGTGCTGAGTTCTAATTTTATTCCCTTATGGTCAGAGAGAATGCAAGATATAACTTCAATGTTTCTGAATTTGGACAAGTTTTCTTTAGTTCTCTTTGAGTGTTCTCAGCCTGTTCACACCATTCCTGCCTTTCTCTTTGAGTATTCTCAAGCTGCTCACACAAATCCTATATCAGTTTTGAGTAGCTTCCTCACGCTCATGATATTCCTGTATAAACCTTTGGATTGCCTCCTCTCTCTCCCTGTCACACTCATATAGAGTCCATTGTATGTTTTCAATCTTTTCATTTATCATGTTTGCCAGCAGTGTTTGTAGAGCTATTAGTGAACTCTTCTCTGGATTATTCATTATCTGTTTTGTCCCCTGATTATCATGAATGGGAGATGAGATACCTGGACTTGCCATTTTTCTTGTGTTTTTCCGGGTTATTCTGCCCATTTGGTATGAAAATAACACCAGTTTTGTGCTGAACACTATCTTAAGGCAAGCATCAACCAAAGTCTGTAATTGCACAGTCAATAGTCTGCAGATACAATCTATTTCAACAGATACATCTATTCAACATCAAACAACTATATATTAATGGGCTACAAACCGCAAAGAAGAATATGACAAACCAGCAATTATTAGGTTTAGGGAGAGATGTGGGTAAAAAATAGGAATAGAGTGATGTGGGAAGGCACAGGGAGAGTTAACTTAATTAATTCCCAATCTCAAAGCAGGAAATAGGTTGGATAGGATGAAAGTAGAGAGAGAGAGAAAAAGAAGAAAGAGAAAGTGAAAAAAAGAGACCAGAAAAAATAGAAAAGTAAAAATTAAAAATATTATGCAAGATCAAGAACAAAATATTCAGAGAAGAATGTGGATATAATGAGAGAAGGGGAGATATAAAGGAGATGTGAAAAACTTAAAAATAAAAATACTTGAAATATTATATATGTATAAAGAGGTAGTACTGCTATTAAGGAATTTAAGTCTAAGAGGTTTTGAATTGAGTAATAAATTTGTGGATTAAGTGTGTACACAATGGGGGATAAGGTCTAATAATCGACTACGGGTTTATCTGAGGATGTGCAGAACAATTAAGTCACATAAAGAAGAACGAAAGAGAAGACAAGGTGAAAAGGATAAGAAAAAAGATCAGAAGTTCAGTAGAGCTAAACAAAAAACAAAAAAAAATTTTTTTAAAGAAAAAAAAGATAGAGAAACACACACACATATACCCCTAAAATAAAAATTATAAGAGGAAATAAAGTTACTAGAACCATTTTTTTTCAAAAAAGGTAACAATTAAAAATTTTTTAAAAAGTTTTAGAAAAAAATTATTTTTTATAAAAGGTACAAAAGAAAAAAAAAAGGTCTTTTGTTTTTTTTGGGGGGAGGGATGGGAAAAATCCTGTCTCTCCCTTGTGTCTGTAACCAGCCTCTTGTTGGAGTCTCTGGTCTACTTGTGGTGTTTGATTTTCCTGTGGCTTGGTTAATTTCTTAAGTCAGTTTGTTTGAACAGGCAGAAAATCGCTCTGCTTTACCCAGGATTTTATGATTCTCCTCCAAGGTTAGATCAATGGGATGGAGACCTGCTTTGAGTGTCACAAAAGAGGGAGATGGCTTTTTCCTCAAGTTAGGAGATGCTGTGATGAGGCTAGGTTCTGGGTAGAGTTGAGACCTTTCGGCAAACAGTAGCTTTTCCCGGGGGCTAGTTTGTGAGAAACTCACAAAGCCCAGCCTGGAGCCACTCTTAGGGTTTATATTTACTGAATTTCAATTGATTGTGGATGCTGCTATAGGGAGGGGAAGCCTCTGGCTCTGATTACCCAGTGAAGAAAGCCACTCCTGGGGCTGGCGCCCAAGCTGGGTGACTTTTCCCTGGGTGGAGCTGAGTCTGGCAGGTCAGGTTAGGTTCTTGTGACCTGCTAAAGGGCTCTAGTTTTCTTCCAAGGCCTGAGTTAGAGCTAGCAGCTCTGCCGAGCTTTGTCAGTATCCAAGATGGAGATCTCCTATTGTGGGGGCTAGAGGAAGGGTGGCCTTACCTCCTCTGCTCCTTGAGAAGGAGTGAGGACGTTAGGCTTCTACTCACACCAAGTCTTGGTTCCTGGATCATATCTGGTCTGCGAACTGCAGGATGAAGAAGTCTGCTCCTTGTCAGTTCTTGCTGATATTGAGTAGAATCTGCTTGCCTGCTGCATCTGGCTCCTTTGTCCCGGATTCTCTGTTTTGCAGGTATGGCGGCTTTGGCTGCCGCCGCCACCACTGCCAGTGCAGCAGCGGCTACTGGCAAGTGCTCAGATCTGTCTCCTTGCCTGGATTTTCCCTCTCTAACCTAACTCTCTGTCTTGTGATGGCACACTTGGTGTGATTCTCTGGCTTAGTACTGTTCACTGGAACTCTAAAACTGCTTTCTATGCGAAAGCTTGTTCAGCCTCCAGCTTCTCCTCCACCAACTTCCGGAATCTCTGTTCACAAAATTATTGAAGATATTGTAGGAAAAATCATCTTTCTGTTGAACAGAATTAATTCATTTAAGTGATTTTATATTAATAGCCTGTGTTTTTCATTTTTAACCATTGTATTTTGAAAAAGATATACCTCTAAAAGGGTGCTAACGTTTACCTGTTTAAGATTAGACACAGTTTCTACACACTATTTCCTATCTACACAGTGATGCATATTTCTCAGCTAATATTCCCTTTCTGAAGACAATGTTGTAAACAATTACTCTTATACAAAGCTGGACAAACTAATTATTTCACAACATTCACTATTTTTTCCTATCCCCATTTATGCTTCTAAAACTCATTTAAAAACAAATTCAATACATCTATCAGAAAGAATGACTTCACCCCATTTCTTAGGAAATGGAAAGACTTGGAAAAATTATATTAAGTGATGTAGTCAGGCCCAAAGAAACATAGGTCCCATGGTTTTCCTTATTTGCAATAAATAGTGTAAGTCGAGGAAAAGCAGAAAATTTCAAAAGTAATGTATATATGATGATATAAAAAGGTGTTAAGTGAAATGAACCCCCAGATAGGGACACAACTTGTTCCTACTTTCCTGATATTATGTATTATGTGATTTAATTGTTTCTCTTGTATGTTCTTGCGCCAATATAACCCCTGATTTAGTGTATTTGATGACAGTGCTCTGCATCTTGCATATCTTTTTCTAATTTGTGGAGGGAAGGAAAATAACAAAATGCTGAAATAGTTTATTGGTTGACACATTTTAACAATGAGAAGTACAAGATGTTGAAAATGAAGTTTACAATTTTGTGGGTATGTGGGGAGTTGGGGAGGTGGGGCTGGAAGGAGTTTTAGGGGAAAAACAAGGGAGGAGGTAATAATCCCTCTGCACACTATTTTTTACAATAAAAATTTTAAAAAGGAACTGAAGTATTTCCTATTGCCTCATAGTCCAGGTGGAAGAGCATGGTAAGTTTTGGAAAAATGACTTGATAATGATAAAAGCTTCTTCATATGAGTACATGTATTCAGTACGTGATTGAGAATTTGGAGGAATCATTATGAAGAAAGGTCTTCTACTGCCCTATAGACCAAGTTTTAGGTTTAATTTATAATAAAAGACCATATTAATATAATATAATATTATAATATAAAAATATAATACTATAATATAAAAATTTCTGATTTCCTGTTCTTATGCAAACTGCCAATAAAAAGAATAAAACCTGCACTGCAGTGAGTGCACCAATCAAACCAGACAGAAGGTAGGCACAGGCAAATTGATATAAGCAGTATGATCCTTTTATATGTGAGTTAGAATGGGTAGAAAAGACAAAAAGTGTTCAATTGTACTGAACAATAGCAGAATTATCAGGAAATCTAACAGGGAAAAAATAGAGCATGCTATGTAACCTTTGCTTTTAACATTTGTACTTGCAGGGAACCATTGACTTGCCATAAGGTGGGATGATGTTCAATAAACCGAGTAATCATGACTAAAATATTATGGTTCTATCAATGATGGAATAACTGCAGTCCCATCCTGAAGGCACACTGCAAGCAACTGACCACTTCTGTGGAGATACTTACCTGATGTTAGCCCTTCT